GGACAGGACACGGGATGGGTATTTATCATCAATCCCTCAGCTTTTACTTATTAGATGCCAATAAAACATACTCACCCACCAATGTGACAACCCAAAATGGTGACAGACATTGCTAAAGTTGCCCAAAGCAAAAAATTCACTCCTAGTTTTAAAATACTGCTCTAAAGGAATAGAAAAAAAAAAAAAAAACAGAACTCCATAAAGCTCTACAAATCTTGACTCTGTTGCTGGGATAGGCCCTCACGAAAAAATTTTCTGGCCCAAACTGTCAAAAGCACCAAGGTTGAAAAAACAGTTTTAGAAATAATCAGGAACAACCCCTCCAGTGCAAGAAAGAGGGGCAATGTCAAGAGGCATCCAATGAACGTGGGGTTTTGATTTGCCACACCCCACCCCTACTGCTTTGAAATGGCAACAACAGACAACACACAGTGTTAGAAAACAAACCGAACTTGCTGACTTCAAAACTCCGCAATGATAATGAGGAACCTCTTATCAAGAGTTGGTCTTTGAAACAGGAAGTATCTAAACAAAGGAGGCCCACTTTCTGGGGCACCCAAGATTTTTTGGTACATCAGATCTCCTTACTCCAGCTGCCACATTTAACTCTGTGGTTTGTGTTGCTCTGATTCTCCCTAGAAAAGGGCCCTCAACTGCCTCCAAACTCCTCGGGGTACTAGAAAAGTTCAACTTTGAAAAATGAAAAAAAAAAAGAAAAAAAAAAAAGTAAAATGCTGACTTTGGCTGAGCAGCCTGAGGGAATTTTAATCCCTTCAAGAATAAAGAAAAAAAAATGCTTCTTAGTGAATAGGATCTTGGCAAATGGATGATTCACAAAAGCTACAAAGTATTCTTACTACCACCAACAGCTGCCTTCTGAGCAACATAAGGGGTTGTATTAAGACAGTAAAATGTTACAAACTGAAAAAATGACACATTGTACCTGACAGTTAACCCAGCAGAAATTAATAGTCAAAAATAATTTTATTAAGATTTTAGCAAGTAGTTTACTATTTTAACCCCTTATCTAGAGATTAATTGGCACTCACTCCCCACCATGGCAATGTATCCTCTTTAGGTTTAATAGCCATAAGTTTATCTTTTCCTGGAGACTTAGCTCTCCAGATAAATGCAAAGTGTTTCTGTTTCCTACATGGTACCCAGAAAGCCTTGCACCCTTAGGTGAAACAAAGAAAGAAGGAAAAAAAAAAAAGAAATTAAAATTCTTATCTGTCTTGATTCTGGTTGCTGCTGAATCATTCTGCTTCCAAGATGCTCCCCTCCAGTCCACAGTTGAAGGTCACCACTTGCTTATACAGCAAGAAGCCATAAATGAGCTCTGTATATTCCAGAATTGGCATAAAATGTTTTTCAATCTACGTGTATCAAAACAATTTGATCAATGGATAAAGGAAGACGTAAATGCTTAATTTCAGATCTACAGTTAACTCTGCTGATTCTTATTCCTACGAAACAAAAATCTTGTAGTTTGTATATTAATTTAACCCAATAAAATGAATCTTCTATTTCTCCAGATAGGACACAAAGCCTTGATTGCTGAAACAGGAAAGGTACCCCCTTCTGTCTTTCTGCCACTCAGGATCAGTCTTAGGCCATAATCCCAAGGAAAGAGTAGCCCTGAGAACTGCATTTCCTTCTGCCCATCTGCCCATTTTCATCTGCCCATTCTTTATTCCACTTCTTTCTCCAAGAAGGCCTCCTCTTTCATTCTCACTGAGTGCCCACCTCATTGGCGGACAGAAATCGTGGTGGTAAAATTGAAATAGTCAGAATTTGGCCTGTCCTGAGGAAGGAACTGAAACTGAAAACCACCAACTCTCATGTATGGTAGAAATGCAACCAACACCATGCAAGATTCAAGTGCAGCAACGTGGGCACACAGGAGGAGTAATAAAAAGCAGGAAGAGGAAGTAGCATTGGAGCTGGAAGGGGTCATGTTGAGAAAAGCTAGGTTGCATGTTCAAGGCCACAAGGGCAAAGGTGGAATGACCCAATGTGAACGGCATACACTTAAAGGTATGGCAATTCAAGTCTTTGGGGAATGAAAAGAGGGAGAGAAGGAAGAGGCTGAAGATGAAGGATGGGGTCCAGGACATGCAGTAACCAATACAAAGTAGTCAGAGGCTTTTGAAATAATTCAGTCTAGCTCCAAAAAGAGAAGAGAAATGGGGAAACTTTAGGAGGCCTCTGAAGTAACCCATAGACCAGCTGACAAAGGTGGAGCAGTCAGAAAGGAAAATGATTTCAGAGCTCCCAACAGGAGAGCTAGTTCTATTTCTGGACATTATTGAGTACAGTTGCTACCAGTAGGCATAAATCAGTAGTCCACTATGTTCCTCAGAGGTAGGCAAGTAGTGGTCATAAGCATGGTGCTCTTACAAAAAGAAAAATAAGCAAAAACAACAACAACAACAACAACAAAAAAAAAAAAAAAAAACCCACCACAGTGCTCTTGCAAAAAAGCTAGTGACCTTGGGCAAGTTACTCTGTGCTTCAGATCCTTACCAGCAAAATAGGGATGCTCTTAATAATGGGTTACCCTATGTCTAGAGCTTAGGACAGTGGCCAGGTACAGAGTAGATGTTTCATGTTTGCTCTTGAGTTCCAAAGTTTCAATCAGCAAAAGTGAGCAAATAACCCTTAGTGTCACCCTAAAGACCAAAATATTAGGATTGTCCATAGGAGACAAGTGATTCCTAATGTGCCTAGTTCTGGACAGGTGACATAAACCTTCCATGCTCTCAAACTAGAATAGGTAAGATGATATCATCACAGAGGAATTTCAGAACAGTTCAAATAAAGACCTTTCCAAATGACTATAAAATTAAATTCAAACTTCATCCTTTTCTCCTTAATTCTTCCATCCAGAAATTCATTCTGATTCTTTTCTTACTTTCCATGTAACTACAGCTAGAATCAAACAGCTTTGCTCACCCAAACTAAGAACTTAAATCTGAGATCTGACACCTGGTGAGTTAAAGGTCTGATTCAACTCTGCCCCCATTGGTAACTTACAGGAAATACATCCAAATGTTCTCAGGGACACTTCACCGACTGAAAGGTAGCTCCTAGAGAAGAGGAGCCTACAGGAGAGATATTTTCACTTGGTTGTGTCTCATCATACTTCTCTAAAATGGACAGGGCTGCTCCCTTATGCATCTTACAAAAATAAATAGTAAGTCCAAAGCAGTTCAAGGTCCTGTGGTGAATAAGCCACAAGACATTAAAACTCACTTCCAGATTCTCTGGCTAATTTTCTTTCCACTCTGGAATCCGGGGAGATGACCCCCATTCCAGACCCCAAGAATAGTACAACTTCACAGTTCCAGTCTTATTTCCTCTGAAGGAGAGAAAAGCAAACTTGTTCAAGAATTCAAATGTCCTGGAGCGGTATTCACTCAACTGAGACCTCCCTGGGATTAATGATCCTCCACTTTGTATTTTAGAGCTTGCCAAGAGATGACAGTCTCCCCCCCACCCCCACCCCCACCAGTTAACTCCTATCTTGGGCAGAGAAGCCTACAGAAATTGCCAAGATCCTGCCAGCCCAAAGACATGCTTTTAAATAAACTGAATTAAAGTGCAGGGCCAAATCCCAAGAAGGGGTCAGAAAGTAAAGACATTTACAAACAGAGTAAACCAGCGCCTCTGGATCCCCCTCAGGTCTGAGGTTCATCTGCCATGGCTCTGGAAACATCAAGATTATAACCTACCATTCTTTCCTATGCCCTCAGGACCGCCAAAATGGGAATATGAACAGCTCGCCCCAAAGAACGATGTCAAGACATTTTCCCTAAATAAGTGTTCCCATTGGACCCTGAAATCTCAAATATGTAATTGAGCAATGCTGTCATTACCTCACAGCTATAAAAGAAAACTCCCACCCACCCCCAGCCCAGACCATCCCCTCCCTCAAATCATAGTCAAGGACTCAGGCCAGGAGCCAAGGTATTTCAGAAACTCAATTCTCCCTCAGAGTGAAAGCGCCAGGAACCTGGCCCTAACTAACCCACCCCCACCTTCATACCCCGAGGCAGGGAGAGAGAGGGCTCGCAGCAGGGCCCGAGGCTCTTTCTTATGTAAATGAACCGGCAGGCCGCCGAGGGAGCTCGGGTCTGGGGGCAGCGGAAAGCGCAAGGGGCACCGACAAGTCGGGGCCTGGCGCAGGAAAAGGCTCATTTTCAGAACCACAAAATCTCAAAGAATCTGGGGAGGGGGAGGGGGAGGGGGGTCCTCTCCGAGCAACTTCTAAGAGAAAACCAAAAAGTAACAAAAACGGCGACCCCCACTCGGAGGCGGGACCCGGGGACGCGAGGCGGAGCCGTCCAAAGGCAGATCTGCTAGGGGGATGTACGCCCCTCGTGGAGCCTCAGTTCCGGGCACCTCAGTTCCGGGGAGGGGGCGCGGCGGCAGAGCTAGTCTGCGCGCTTTCCCGCTCCTTCCTGGGTCGTCTTTTCCTCTGGCCCTCCTCCGCAAGGCGAGGAGGGACGACAAGGGGGAACAGCACGCCTCCTAAACGCGTCCTTAAGCGCTGGAGGCCCCCAGCAGCCCCACGCGGCCGCGGCGCCTCCTCCCCCAGCTACAGTTCTCCCCACGTGCTCTCGCCGGAACTCAGGCTACCGGAGGGGGGTTCCTCCCACGTGGGCCCAACAGTCCTAGACTACGTGCCGAGCTACCCGCCCTTCCAAAAGAGGCTGGGGAAAAGGGGTAGGGGGAGAGCGCGAGCGCGCACGGGATAGCAGGGAGGAAGAGAGCCAGGCGGTGCTCGAGCGCTGGCGCCTCGCACGCGCGCACAAGTCTGCCAGCGCCTAGCGGACGTGGCTCCTCGCGCCCAGGAGTTTCCCAGCTACCCAAGACTTTTCCTGCGTCCCAATCCCTGAATAAGGAGGAAACGGGTCCCGGCAAGATCCAAGAGTTTCCCGGAGAACACGCAACTTTATCGGAAGCGAGCCAACCCGCCCCAGCCCGCCACTACTTACTTTCTGCACTTGGTTATGGTTGAGCTCCGTGAAGAGGCAGGCGATCATATGCGAGGCAATCATCCTGTTGCGGCCAAGCGGCGCCGACTTGGGAAACTGAGGCGCGAGTGTTTGCAGGGGAAGCGGGTAGCGAGGTCCTAACCGCTTTGTATGCTGGCCCGGTTGCCCGGCAGGAGCGGGGATTCCTGGCGGTACACAGAGAAGGTTAACGCGGGCTGGGGGGTCTCGAGTCTCTAAAAACAGGTTTGGAGAGTCAAAATTGCTAGAAGGCGCCTAAGTATCGCTCCTGGCGACGAGTCTGGATGCCCAACGTCAAGGCGCTAACTTCTCCCACAGGGTCACTAAGGCTCAACTTAGCAAGAATCACAGCCCGACTCCACTAGGGCGATCGGACCTATTGGGCTCACTCGCGCTATGCTCCCTCCCGCGTATCTTAGCTGAATGACACGGCGTTGCCAGCGGTGGCCTGGGACTCCAGCGCTGGGGTTCGTGCAACAATGTGGCTTATTGAGGGGCTGCCGGCTCATGGGCGGGCGGGTCAGTGACGCGCGCAATCTCATTGGCCGCGCAGGGAGGGTGTGTGCGCCCGCGGGCCGCCCGCCGGCACGGGACAACCAATCAGCGTGCACAGCCCGCGGGCGCGGCCGCTCCGACACCCGAGCGGGTAAGCTACAGAGACTCGCCTGGGGCAGGGGGCGGGGCTGGGCGCTGGGGATGGGACGTGTGTTCCGTGGCAAGAGGCTGGAACGCAAAGGCGCATGAGCCACCGCCGCGTCAGGCTCGGCTACGGGTGGGGGGCGCGTGATCTCTGGCCCAGGAGGCGTGGAATGACTGGAAAGACAAGTCACTGGACCCGCACACGCCCTGGCCCAGTCGCGGAGAAGGACACCGTCTGGTATTTGGAGATCATGTGAGGGGTCCCCATCACCCAGTCACACTTCTGAAGCATCCTGGTTCTCACCCTAATTTAGGGCTCAACCGGTCCGCCTAACGCTGATGCAAAGGGAGCCGCCTTGACTGCTTGCTTACTCTCACAGCCATTAGAACAGTCGGCCCATCTATCCCTCACCCCACTGATAAGCTATGGGTTTTACTAATCCTGTACTACATGTGAGGAAACTGAGGCATCCGAGGCCTCATGGCTAACCAGTGGTGGATGGTAAAAGGAACCCATATCCGTTTTGACTTTAAGATCTTATTCTCTTCCCCATTATTGTATCCTTCCTTTCTAGGAGCAGGAATGAAGAAGGCAGGAAAGGAGTGTTGCCTGCAGCTTTGGGTCTAATATGTGGGCAAAGATAGGTGATAGTAAGTGTGAAACTGGATGATCTTGGACCTTGGTGGGTGGAGTGGCTTAGAGATACTGAGAGAAGCAAGTTCCCCAGATTTACATATATTGAGCTGGGGACCTGGCTCAATGGTTAAGTGCTTGTCTAGCATGTCAAGGCCCTGGGTTCAAGTCCTAGTATCAAGAAGAAGAAAACAAGAAATGAATGTTCATTGTTAGGGAAAACACACACACACATGACCCCACCTTTCAGCAAAACTTATAAGCTGTGTACACTTGCCAAATGCACATCCTCAGCCTTCTTCCTCTTTATTCCAGTCAGGATTGAAACCAAACTGCTTTGATCATAGTCACCATAATGGCCTATGTGTTGAAAATCTTGTGTTCTCTTCTATCTCCTGCCCTTTTTCTTCCTCCATCTCTCAAAGATTCTAGGGACAGTTGTTCACATCCTGCATCTGGACTTACCTTCAGACACCCAGTCAGAATCAGATGCTTCACTCTAATGGCTTTCCACTAACTTCACTCCCCAGGCTCCTCAATTCCTGTTTTCTATACTGGTGACTGCTGGAGTATTCCAGGGCTACCTTCCACCCTATTCTCTGATCTTGTTACATTCTCTTCCTGGGTAATCCCTCCAGATGACTGTTATGTCATCTACACAAGGTGACTCACAAAGATAATTCTACAGCAAGGACCTCTCCCAGAGCTCCAGACTTATTCCAACTGCCATTTGTCATCTCCAAGAAGTGAGAGCATTGCACACTTAATATATACAACACTGGATTCAACTTTTTTTCCCCCAATTTTTTCCTTGTCCAGTTGTGTCAGCAAATGGCATCCTATTCACTTTAATCATCCTTGATTCCTTCTTGCTACTCACCCTCACATTAATCAATCCATCAACAAGCAGTCAGTCTGACCTATCAAACTGACGCTGAGTATTGATGACATTTCTCTCTCCATGTCTTTGGACACATCCTAGCCAAGCCACCAATAACTTAGCCAGAGCCAGTACTACTGTTTCCATTCTTTTCTACCCCCATGCATGTTGACCCCTATGATGTCTTTTTTTTGGGGGGGGGGCGGTTACTGGGGATTGAACCCAGGGGCACTTAACCACTGAGCCATATCCCTATCCCTTTTTAAATATTTTATTTAGAGACAGGGTTTCATTGAGTTACTTAGGGCCTTGGTAAGTTGCTGAACTGGCTTTGAACTTGCAATCCTTCTGCCTCAGCCTCCCAAGTTGCTGGGATTACAGGCCTGTGCCACCACTTCCAGCTTATAAAGTCTTTTTCAACCAGGAACCAAAGTCATGTGTTTAAAATACAAACCAGACTGTCTTTTCCTGGCTCAAAGCCATTTGCCAGTTTCTAGTCTTTGAATAAAATTTGTACTAACAATGAACACCAGACTTTAAGATCCCTGCTTCCTTCTCTATCCTGTAAGACTTTCCTCAGTACACTGCTGAGCACTCACTCTGGCATGCTTTCCTCGAAAATGCCAAGCTCTTTCTCACCCAAGAGCCTTTGCTCTTTCTTTTTCTTTGATCTGGAATATTCTCCAGACCTGTTTCTTGCTGCCTTTTCTCCCTCAATGAGGTTCATCTCAGATATCACCTCCTCAGAGGGCTTTCCTCTGACCAATTTTTCTCAAGTTCCCAAGTCACTATTATTTGGCTTTGTTGATTTCCTATTCTTTCTCTTCTCACTAGAACAAACTACAAAAGGGGATAGTCTGTGTCTATGTTGTTCCCTCATATTTGCAGTGCCTAGAATGGTGCCCTTCAAATAGTAGGCATGTAATTAGGTATTTATTGCATAAAGTAAAAGAAGAAATCCTAAAGATGTCCATGGTTCACATTTTGTATAGCAGTACAGAGAGTTTAGCTTTATATGCTTTATATATCGTTTCTCAAATGTTTCCCACCTCTCTACCCCAGTTCACACACTCAGTATCTCTCGCCTAATTACATCAGCCTCATATCTAGGTTTCTGTATTTAGATATCCAGCAGACTTAGATATCCAACAGAGATGTTTAAAGCAGGAAGTGATATGATCACACTTGCTTTTGTAGGACAATAACAGCCCTCCATTGGATAAGGGAAGAGGGTCAGAGACAAGAAATGAGAGAAACTATAAGATAAGGACCTGAGCCAGTGAGCTGGCTATGGGTTTAGGTGTTATGAAGTCTGAGGCTGAATCAATGGTTTGGGCTAGAGGCAGGGGGTAAAGAAGAAAATGCCTGCTACCTAGAAACACTTGAAAAGCCAAAATCCCTGTACTATAAAATCCATTGTCCCCAGGCAGGTGGGACCAAAGCCAGTGAGACCAGGGCAACTGTGATACCTTTTCCACAGACTAATTGTAATAGCCCCTCCACTACCCTCTCTAGTCCCATTTCATGTGGACCAGATAATGATCACAAAGTGCTTTAAGTCTTTAAGTATAGGTTATCTCTTACAAAGCTCCCAATAATCCTGGGAGATGGTTGGAATAGGTATTGTTTTCTTTCTGGGTTTCTTTTTTTTTTTTTTTTAACCATACCAGAGATTGAATCCAGGGGCAGTTTACCACTGAGCCACATCCCTAACCCCTCCCCCCCCCTTTTTTTTTTTGAGACAGAGTTTGAAAACTAAGTGTCTCATTAAGTTTCCAAGGATGGCTTCAAACTTGCAATCCTCCTGCTTCAGTCTCCCTACTGGCTGGAATTACAGACATGCCCCACTGCACCCAACTTTGGAGTAGTTATTGTATGTGCCACAATTCAGACATGACAAACTAAAGGGAAACTACCCACACAACACTGAGACTTGTATCTTTGATTTCTTTGGACTCCAAACTCCACACCTAGAGTTTGTTATTCATTGATTCTCACACACACAGGCACATGTGGACATTGAAAAGTGATGGACAATCATACAATGTACACTCCATAGCTCCATGACAAAAATCAATCAACAAATATTTATTAAACCCTTACGATGATTCAAGGAAACAAACTATGATTCCTGGGGCTGGGGTTTTAATTCATGGTAGAGCACTTACCTAGCATGTGTGAGGCACTGGGTTGGATCCTCAGCACTACATAAGAATAAAAGGGTTAAAAAATATTCTTGCTGCTAAGGGATTAACTGTTTAGTCAGAGACTTAAAAGCAACACATGTGACAAATATTATGGAATATAAGAAATCTATCATTAACAAATCAATGTGTCTGTGTCCTTGTCTGTTTTTTGATTTGGGGTTTTATGTATTAGGGATTGAACCCAGGGATGCTTTACCTCTGGGTCCACCCCCAGACCTTTCTCACTTTATGTTTTGAGACTAAGTCTTCCTTAGTTTCCCAGGCTGTACTCAGACTTTTCATCCTCCTTCCTCAGGCTCCGGAGTTGCTAGGATTACAAGCATGAGTCACCATGCCCAATATGTCTACGTCTTTACCTGCTGTAGAGTTTTGGAAGAGCGAGGTAGAAGACACAGGCCAATATCAACCAAGGGTGGTCTGACTAGATGTGGATGCCAGCTTTCCAATTTCATGCCAGGCTGGTGCTGGCACTGTCCCCACATTACACTGGCCTGAGCCTGGCCACTGGACCTCATGAACTATCCTAGAAAGACACTACTTTGCCAAAAGATCTCCCTCTGCCAAATATTATTTTTGTCATTGCTGTTGTCGTTGTTGTTGTTGTTAGGATTTATCAAGTTGCAGCATGGGATCATGTAGAGAATTTTAGGAATGAGGGTGGTGGACCTGGCCTGTATATAAATTT